CATGATTGGCCTAAGTGGGTATCGATGCAGGACTCAATCCCCGGACCGTCTATGTGAAAGAACGACATCTGCAACTGAACTACCTCCGCCCTGCCTGACACTACGATTCAAATTAAGGAACCTGACTGGCCCGAATTCTCGATATACATATTTAATAGGCCGAATCCTTTCAATTGGCCGAGGTGCACTGCAAGGCCTCGAGTTTTAGGTTTTAAATCCAATGAGTTTGCATGTAACCGTGTTTCATATTACTGCTTATATTAAGCTGCTCTTTTAGAATTATGAGAAACAAGTGCTTCTTTAAGTGTCCCATAACTTCCTTAGTCTCAAAATTTTCTTGTAAGACTTAGTCATTATTGCTGTATTTTCTTTATGAATGGCTAATTTTTTTCATTTTCTTTTTTTTCTTACGGAAAACTCAGAAAGTGAGTTTCGTGAAATTTACTAGTATATGTTTTGCTACCTATTCATAGTTTCACTCGTAAACAGTCCCATGTGCCAAGGTTTTCTTGCATGCTGAAGATTCTCGGACTCAGGGTGCTCTCACCATGCGACAATGGATTCATCCAATTCCCAGCTCAGCTGTGGGTGGTCATTTGTCATTCATGGACCGGCTGCAACCCATGCACGACAAATTAATCCCTCACTAGTGAGGATTAAGTGCATGGGACTGGGATGTCGGCATAGTTATCAGCCCCATATATTTAGCGAAGTTAATAAACAAATAATTGAAGAAGAAATACGATAATCCATGACCATTCATCAAAATTATCGTTTGAATGTATGGAACTCGGCCCATATGGGCCATATTGTTGGTCCATGTATTTGACAGGGTTAATTAAGTTTTTTCATGGGGGAGGGGTATGCAAAATTTCGTGACGACGTCTTTCCGATAGTTTTTATCGAAAGTGCAAAGGCTCCAGTCTTCCTATGCGACTAAACCTTGTTTGTCCATCGGCGACGGCCTTTGTCCGAATCGATGTGGTGAGGCTACAGTGACGGAAAGTGAGCATGAGTAGGACTAGCAGTCGCAGTGAGAATCACATTCGGCTGTTTTTACGTCTCTGGGGCATGGCATGCACAAGGGCGGGCCTTACACTTCTAATTTCTATGGTGATCAGTGGTAAGATGAAATAACTGGTGTTAGAGCACCTCAGAATAGGTTTAGTTCTGAACTTTCGTATTTTATTGGAATAACTTTGTATTCTGAGACCATTAAGTTCTTCTAATCATTTAACTAGGCGTAAGGCAAAGTATTCGGTGCAATACAGACCCTGGAAATATATTTAGCTTTTTCCCTGAAGTAAAGTAAAGTAAAGTTGTTTGATATTTGACATTTATTCCTAATATCCTTAAGCTCTTTTTATTTCAACTACATATTGAGTTTTTTCCGTTGCCCTTTTCAGTACTCCTTTCGCCGTTTCCCTATCGATGAGCGCAGAAAGAGAACCTTCTATTTATTTAGCTTCCGCCCAAGGGCAGTTCCCGGGAGGGGCTGTGTTTTTTCTCATATGCACTTTGGAATTCGTTTGAATGAACTTCTTTCTCTGAATCTACTATTTCAGGTTTTTATGCAGAAAAAGAACCCTAAAAGTCAAAATTCTTGCTGGGTAAGAAAAGTGTGGGCGAACCGATTTGAGTGCCTCATNTGGCCGAGGTGCACTGCAAGGCCTCGAGTTTTAGGTCTTAAATCCAATAAGTTTGCATGTAACCGTGTTTCATATTACTGCTTATATAAGGCTGCTCTGGTAGAATTATGAGAAACAAGTGCTTCTTTAAGTGTCTCATAACTTGCTTAGCCTCAAAATTTTCTTGTAAGACTTAGTCATTATTGCTGT